CAAGAGTCTTCTCTATTATATTTACTAAGATATTGGTTGATTGGGAGTTTAATAAAAGAATAATATATATTTATAAACTAATAAACTTTTTAGATAACTGATATCTCAAGAATAGCTAATTCTTAAAATAATTAAAACAAATAATAAATAAAAATAATAAAAATGAATTAAATAAAATCTCTGGATGGGTGTGATCCACAAAGAGGATATCAAATATTATAAATTATACTCTGGAAGATAGATTTTATTATAAATATGATTTATAATAAGTTTTTAAGAATAAAAACTAAATTATTTATAAAGGTAAAGGAAATTATAATTATTCTAAAGATTTTCTAGTACCAATACTTATAAATATTATATTAACACAAGATAAAAATAAAATAAAATAAAGATATAAAATAAAGTTGTAATTACAAATACTAAACTAAGAGATGATATCAAAAACTAAGCAACAAATACTAAAAACTAAGACAACAAATGTCAAATACAATAAATACAAAAATAAAAGTAACAAATACTAAACTAAGCTTTTATATATGAGAAAGCTTATAAAAATCTTCTAAATTAAATAAATATACTTGGCTTATTTTAAGTGAAGGGCATCTACTATCTAAGTTTTTCAGATAAGAAAAACTTATAAATAACCAAAATATAATCTATTATGATAAAAGAGATAAATAAAAGCAAGATATCAAGGCAAAAATCAAAGAAAAATTACAAGATAAGTATAACTCAAGTGTTTTCAAAAGATAATTAAATTATTGCTATTCAAGTATATTTATTTTAAATCTCAGAGCAGAGATATTTATATATCTTTGAGATTTTATAAGTTTCTATCTAAATTCATTTGCTACTCTAGATTATAATTACAATCTTTGAGATAAAGAATCAATAAATAAACAAGTAAAAATAAGAGATAAGATATATATGATAAATTAAATGATAATATAAATAATAAAATAAAATAAAAAGATAAGATACATATTTTAAAAAGAAAAGATAAATAATAAAAATAAATAAAATTTGTTATTGAACCATTTCTGAAGTATTTCTGAATTATTATTGATTTTAGGACTAATTATTTATTGATAATCTTAAAATATTGCAAAAATATTATTAAATTATGACTAAATCTATAACTAATATGCCAATTATATTATTTGAAATCACATATCTTCTAAAGATCAATTGATTGATCAAATTTTTCAAGTTTAAAAAATTATGAAATTAAAGAAATTTATATTACTACAGTAATATTACTATAATAATTTTATCATAATTATCATATTTATAAAATTTTCTAAAAATATTTATAAATAATATTCTCTAAAACTAATATCTAATAAGATATAAGTAATTATTCATCTAATTATATTGTGATATAAAGTGATCAATAATATATAATTAATTAATATAAAAGTTCATATCATAATAGGATCATTTTTATTAGTATTTTACTTCATAAAATTTAAGATTAAATATCAAGTTTTTATAAGACTTAATAATTCTTCAAAGTTATTATTAGTTATTTTTCTTAACTTTATTGATAATAACTTTCTTAGTCTTAGAATTACTTATTTTGAAATATATTAAAATAGTTTGCTAGTTCTACTAATAATTTTTTAATATCAAAAGATTAAGTTTTCAGTTATTATTTGTAAAATTTTGTTATATAAAAATAGTTTTTCTCTAGTTAAGTCTGTAGTTATAATAATATCTACTATCTCCTAATCTATCCATAATATATTGAAATTAATATTTCTATTAGATAAAGTTGCAATTACTATTTTTACTATAATATCTATTAAAGTAATTCTTGCTCTTAATTTGTAAATAATAGCATTTTAATAAAGAGTTTAAATAAATAATAAAAATAAATTCTACTAAATAATTAAATAGATATTATTTATAATAAGTAATATTCTATAAATAAGTATGATATAGAATAAATATATTAAATTAAAGAATAATATAATATAATTAATTAAAGTTATAAAAATTCTGAATTAATATATTTTCTAGAAAAATTATATAAAAGGAAGTTTTCCAGATAATTAAATCTATAATATAAACTAATTTTTATATCTAATTTCTATATTATAATATGTAATTTCATAATTTTAATCATATCACTACTAATTTAGAGATTAATATAATCTTGTGCTATATCAAATAATTACTCAGTCATATAATTTCTATTAATATTCTCTATATTAATTTGATTTTTATATCTGTTTATTATTTTATAATTAATTTTTTTTTATTTTTATAGCAAAACTATACTTTTTCATCATTTATTTTAATATTATCAATGACATAATTTTCTCATAAATTTCTCTAGATCTAAATAAATAAGAATATTATTTTATTATTAGTATTCATTCTATATTTTTTTTGTTATTATTTAGTAAGTTTATTTCATTATTAAATCAGAATATATTATTATTTGTCTTTTCAAATCTATTTTATTTACATTATTATTATAATTATTATTATTTTATATAAATACTATCTGATTATAAAAAGTTATTATTATTTTATATAAATACTATCTGGTCATAAAAATATTGATATATTATTTTTTCTCTTTAATTTAATTTATCATTATAATTTTTCACCTTTTATTTACTCACAGAATATATTAGAGCAATTAAATTATATATCTGTTATTTCAAGAACTAATTCAACTTGATCTCAGTGAAATATATATAAGCTGATTGAAACAGAGAATAGTACAGCTAGTAAATATCTTTATCTTTGACCGTATCAATACTCAAGAAGAATAACTCAACTTAATTAAATAATTTTATCAATAGTTCATCCATCAAGACTTTATCTTTCAACCAAGAACTCTATCTGTTAATAGTGATATTGATGAATACTATTCAGAAATAAAGAACTCAGAAGATTTAGTAACATCTCCAAAATAACTTGTATTAATCCCAGAACCAGAAGAAACTAGTAGTTCTTCAGAAGAAGATAATCAAACAGAATCAGATAGTGATCCTAACCGGTTAAAAAATCCTAACCGGTTAACCATTTAACTTTTATATGGTTAACTACAATTAACTAATTATAATATAATTATAACTAACCAATTTTATTAATTGTATGTTAACAACTATTTAGGAACAACAGTAAAAATGGTTGAATTTTCTTTCAAAAATAAAAGATCAGAAACTGTTGTTGGATCTAGTTGATTTCGTTTTTCAGTAAGAATATTTCCTGCACTAGAAAATAATCTTTTAGATGGAACTGAGCTTGCAGGAATAGATAAATAATGACGAGCAATTTTTGATAATTGTGAAAAAGTTCTATGATGAACTTTCCACCATTGAATTAGATCATTTTTTTCAGTTGGGGAAAGATCAGGAAATTCCAAAAAAATTTCTAATTCTGATTTATCAACTATATTAGTTGTAGATGAAGTAAAAATACCAAAATTTTCAAAAAATTGTAATATAGGAAAAGATTCAATTGTAGATATAGAAGTTTGTAAAGAAGGCTCAGTTTCATGTGAAGGTTCAATAATATTATGTACTAAAGAAAGTACATGTTCTTTTTTTGAAGATGAAATAAAGGATAATGATTTAAAATGGGGATCTAATAAAGATGCTAATAATCCAAAATCTTGAGGATCATTTCAGCATCTTTCCATTGATTCTAAAATAGAATCACAAATTTGTATAATTATAGAACTAGTAAGTTGTTGAGTTTTATATCGCATGTATTGAAAAAGACTTTCAATTGTAGGGTAAAGAATAGATAGAGTTGAATAAGTTGCATCACTCAAAAATTTTGTAGCTTGTTCAAATAGTCAAAGAACAAATACTAATTCTTCAATATTTTTCCAAGTATTTCTTGTCAAATATAATGTGGCCAAGATATTTCTATCTTTGCGAATGTCACAGTTATCATCTTCTTGCATTGCTTGATACATAGATTAAATTGCTTGTTTTAATACAAGAAGCTGTTCAAGAACTTTGTAGGTGGAATTCCATCTAGTATCAACATCTCAAATTGGAAAAAGTGGTTCCTTGTTAGGCTGAAGAGCTTTTTGAATTTGTAAAAAACAACTTCAGTATTTGTCATGATGAACAAGAAAAAGATTAAGTGCTTTGGCCTTTTGTAATAATTCTTGACTAGGATCAATTTGAAGTCTATCAGAAACTGCCAAGTGAATAGTATGAATATAGCAAGGCAGATTCGCAATTCCCAATTCTTGAAAAGCTTTCAATACTTTTTTGTCATTATCGCTTACACCAACAAGAATTCGTTCTTGTAAATTAATATGCCAACGATCGAGTATATGTTATAATTTGATGGCTATGTTTATGCCAATATGGTTGTAAGGCATTTTTTCAATAGAAAGCAAAGCTTGCTGAAGCTCAAAATCCTCAGTAATCCAATGAACAGTAATACCAATATAGGATTAGTGAAATCCGGTCCATAAATCAGTCGTAAAGCTCATTTTTGCCATAGATTTGTCAAGAATGCCAGCTAAAACTTGTCGTGAGAACTCAATGCTTTGGACAATCATAATTTTGATTGTATTATCACAAGGAACTTTGTATCGTGAACACAATGTAGCATAAAAAGCCTTAAATTTCTTGTTGTCTAGCAAGGTAAATAGTTGCAAATCATTAATTATAAATTCTAAGAGACGAAAATTTGCTAGTTCTTGTTTATCCGTTAGAAGAGGTTTTGTTATTGTAATACTCTCTTCTATAGTTTGTTGTCTCGTTTAATTTTGGCGTGGTGAAGTGTTTTTGGTTATAAGGTGAATACGGCTAAGATGGTAGGCATATGAAGAGGTGACAGTACTTAGAAAAAAGATTATATTGCATGCAGCTACTTTGCATTTTCCAATTCTCTCCTTTTGATTCTTATCAAACCACTTCCACACCCAACTCATGTTTTTTTTTGATCTTTACTTTTGTTTACGAGATGTTTGTAAGAAAGAGATAGGTGTATATTCATTTTCAGTTTCTCCAGACTCTTCAGAATCATATTCAGTTACCAAATTTGGAAATGTAATAGAACTACTACAGACTTCAAGTCGCTCATTGAAGAGTGCTAAATCAAGTAGAGACGGAAGAGAAAGTGGTGTTTGATCAATGTTAAATTCATCAGGTGTGTGATCAGTAGTTGGTATATTCGACGGCAAAAGAAGAGGAGATATCATTTGGCTGATCGCTGGTTCTTGATTAAGTGTATCAGGTGGTAAAGAAAGAGGTGTCATTTGGTCAGTAATTGGGATCTTAGGTTCATCAGATGGAAGAGGAACAAGTGATATTTTGATAGTGCTTAGTTCTTCACATTCAGTATCTAATTTAAAAAAGAAATCATATATTGAGAACAGTTTTCTTTATTTATAATCTCATACAAATAAAATTAAAATAGCTCCAAAACTACTTTTTTTTCTTTCTCATCTTCTCTGATGCCCGCTCATTGCTCTTGCGAATTGAATTGAAACAAATGTTAGGCTAGTAGCATTATGTTTAAATCGTGCAGATTTGCTTATAAATATGAATTAACCTTATCTGGCTTTTTATATCTGGTTAACTATATAAGAGATTTTTGATTGGTCAACCGGTTAACTGGCGGTTAACTGGTTAACACTTAACCAGTTAGGATCACTAGAATCAGAAGATAATAACTAACTATTAAAGGAAAAAGATAATTCAATAGCATAACAGAATAATAATAACAACTTGAATAATCTTATTCAAGCTCTTAAAGTACTAGCTGACTGTATGGCTGATCAGAATGTCCAGCCTATGAAAAAGATTATTATTCCAATCAGGAAATACTGAAAAAATGATCAAGATCCTACTAAGTGACTAAAAAACTTTAATATTGTCACTCAAGCTAATGGAATCACCAACACCAGAAAAGTATAATTAGTTAGAGGATATCTAGAAAATACTACTGCCTTATAGTATGATGAAAGAGGAAGAGATAATGCCATCTGACTAATAACCTGGAATGATGATCAAGATTTATCATACAGTTTTAGTCATCAATTTGCAGCTTAATTCTGTACTTGAGAAAGAATTGACTAATGGCAAGATAAAATTAAAATCTTGCAATAGACTGATATTATAAAAGAATATACTGACAAATTTATTAATCTACTTTATAAAGTAGATCCTGAAAATAAATATCCAGAAGAATATAAAATCCAAATATATAGAAGAGGATTGAAATTAGAAATCAGAAAATGAGTTCAGATCTCAATTGATAAAACTTTTTTAAATATGATATAAGTTATCAAGAATGTAAAAAAAGCAGATGCAGAAATGTTAATCTAAGAATATTATCAATTTCAGATTCAGGATAATTTAATATTGAATATTATACTAATAATACTTTAAGATCTTAACCAACAAATAAAAAGTATTAAAATTAGTAAAGAATCAAGTTATAATAGAAATAGTTCAGATTATAGGTCTAATAATTAAAATCCTAAATCAGTTTCAATCTGTTATAATTGTGATGAGCCAGGTCATATTCATTTTAATTATTCTTAACTATAATCATACTGGAATAATCAGAACAACTTTAGAAATAATCATTAGAAAACTAATAGAAATAATCAGCAATAAAATAATATATCATCAAATTAGATAAATACTAATAATAACCAAAATATAAATAATAATCAAAACACATTTTTGGCTTAAATACAAGCTCTTACTGATAGTATTCAAACATTAACTGCCAAACCTGATAATGTAAATTTACTACTTGATACAC